TATAAAATATACATTCCAACATTGCTTAAACATCATCCAAAAGACCTATCTGTTCAAAATACACATTCCAACATCTACTAGCCCATCTATTCAAGCCAAACTACCAAGGCATCCGTTCAAAATACCCATGAAATCCATCATCTCTTTTACCTCCATCGCCTTGCCCTTTTTGCAGGGGATTTGAACATTTTCCCTGCTGGCCTGGAACTATTTTAAGTGGTAACAGCAGACTCAAGTTGTGAGCTTGGACCTGCTTGTGAAGCTAAATTGCAGGGAGCTGGTTGTGAAGCAAGATTGGTTCCACCTGCTTGGCTAGCAACATTGGTTGGAGCTGTTTGGCTTGCAGTGGCTGCAGTCCTTGTCAACCCTCCTCTAATTGCCTATAAATGAAACTAATCACAATTAAAACTCAAATGAGTCCAATTAAAACATTCAATCATAATTTGACATCCTTTACCTGTAATTTAGCAGTGGCTGCAGTTCCTCTTCCCACGTTTTTTCCTCTTTGGCTGAGCAATGGATTACAATTCCATATCTCCTAAGCTTGGTGGCACCTTTTGGGATCTCATCAACGGGTCTAGTCCTTGCCTTCTTTGGCTTACCACTCTGTTTGTGATACAGTGGGGGTTTAATTGGCGCATGACCTGATTTCCTCCATAAGCTTTGGCTTGATATTAGTGAAATGTAATTGCTATAAGCCCTATCATAAGCTTCTCTCTTACACACCTCATTGACATAACTCATTGGGCTTCTCTGTTGCCTTGATATTGCAGCCATGGCATGGGATACCACATAGATCCCATTTTCGACAAGGCCAAGAGTGAGTATTTAGATCAACTGCATATTGCCCACCAAGCATATGGGTGACTTGAAACCTGTTTCCAACCTGCATTCTGTGCAATGCATGAGCCACTCTCTTTCAAATCCTTTTCAATAATCTGAAAGATCCTTGGCCCAACTCTTTGAGTCCATTTCACTTCCTTTTGTCTTGCAACTCTCAACATCAAATAAGTTATTATCCTTTCCACCATCGTAATGATTGGTTTATCTCTTGCCTCCAAAATGGCTGAATTGAAGCATTCACATAAATTGTTCAGCAGTATATCACACTTGCTCCTAGTAGTAAAGTGTGACCTGCTCCAATGAATTGCAGGCCTATCCTTAAGCCATGCATGAGCTGGGGCAGATATTTCCATAATGTTGTTCATCTCAACTTCCCAACAAGGAAGTGTTGTACTTCTAGCAGCAGCCCATAGCCTCTGTTCAAGTGACAAACTACCATGCCTAGCAACTTTGAAATTATTGTGTAGATGCCTTACACAATGCCTATGTTCAGCATTCGGCTTTAAAGCCTCAATTGCTTGCCCCAGTTCTTTTTGTTTGTCAGTGATAAAAACCCACCCATTTCCAGTGCCTCTTACCCCAACATCATTGAAGAATATATCTAAAAACCATGTCCACGTGTCTCTGTTTTCTGTCTCCACAACAGCAAAAGCTATTGGGAACATGCAATTATTGGCATCAATCCCAACAGCACTTAAAAGTTGTCTTGGATGTTGTCCTTTGATGAAAGCCCCGTCAAAACCAACCACGATTCTGCATCCTTCAATAAACCCCTTCCTCAATTGAGCAAAACATATATAAAGCCTCTCAAAAACTGGACCATCTCCCCGCAATGATGTCTTCACTAAAACTGTGCTTCCTGGGTTTCGCCTCTTAAGCTCCTCACAATAATCCCACAGCTTTGCATATTGTTCTTCAATGCTTCCTTGAATCCTCTCCTTTGCCAAATTCTTTGCCTTGTAGCATTGGTCCCTAGTAACATCTATACTATAATGTTTCCTTACCAATGACATGAAGTCAGCAACTGACATGTTAGGATTGGTTCTCAAATCCTCATCAAACCTTTTAGCCAACCAATGTGAAATGACAAACCTAGTTCTTTGAGATCTGCCGCATGTATGAATTGGATGGAATGTCTTCACTCTAACAATGGGTCATTTCCCAACATGTGCAGCATACAATAACCAAGGACAATCTTCAAGTTTATCTGCAAATTCATCTTCACCCTCTTCACCCTTACCATTCCTCTTACTCTTATCACTCTGCCTCTTTGCCTTATCACCCTTACCATGCCTCTTTGCCTTTTCAACCTTAGTATGACTTTTTGCCTTATCACCCTCATTATTACCATCACATACCAGCCTCACTCTATTAGGCTCATTCTTCACATACCTTATTCTTCTATCACACTTGCATGCATAGTACTTTATGGCCTCTCTACATTCCTGCATATTAGGAAACTCCAAACCCAAGTGGAATTTTGGATCTAAAAGGTCATGTTGTTTATTATACTGCTTGAATTTTGGCTGCCTCAAACCTCTTTTCTTGACATCTTCACATTCACTATCTTCATGCAAACTCTTTAAGTCTATTGTATTATAACCATCAGTGTCACCCTCACCTGGTTTTTTATTTCCATCATCTTGCTCTTCAACATACCTATGAAAATTCATGTTGTCCTCTTCATCACTTTGCTCAAACTCACTATCTATGAAATCACCATCTTCTTCGTCATCCTCCTCACCTTCAGCTTCATCACTTTCTTCCTCAACTTCCTCTGTCTCGCCAAATTCTTCCTCTATCTCAACATCCACGAACTCATATTGCACATTTTCTTCATTAGCATCATACCCAGGAGCAGTGTCTTCATGATGTTCAGCATTTGCAGAGAATACTGGGGACTCAACATTTAGAGGCCTAGGTGCTGGATTTTCAGTTATGTATAACACAAACAGCTAGCTTGGTTTCATCAACTTCAATGCTCCAAAATAATTCTTATATGTCATAATTTCTACCCAGCCATTTGTCCTGTGCTTGTAATAGTATTGAATGTTTTGCTCATCATACCTAAGGTGTTTAACCATTTCAAATAACTCAAGCATTGAAACCTCATCTGCATCTTGCCTATCAACCCATTGTACAATACCTCCCATATATAAACCATCAGCAAAGTAGCCACCGTGGTGTACTTCAAGTGTGAACATATTAGGATTAGCTGCACAACAATTAATTTTCTCATTAATTTACTATGTACCCTATACAGTACAATATACATTTACTATCTACCCTATACAGTACACTGTATGTTTATTATTTACCATATACAATACCATACAATACAAACTCAGACAAAACTCAGACAAAGAACTCGACAAACAATAAACAAACAACATGCATAGGGACCACATTCACAACCCAACCTAAGTCTCAATCAACAAACATTCATAGGGACCACTTTCTTCCTTTTATTATGCTTTTTCATGAAGTCTAGCAATGAAATCTGACAACAACCAAGAATAAAACCCAAACAATTGCATCAAACAAATAAAATAAAGTAAGTTGCTTACTGTATTTGGGAGCTTCCCCACCATCTCTGATTTTCATTATGTTTGTTTACCAAATCACCCTTATCGAACCTCGTTTGGAATCTTGACTCTTTCTCCCAATTCGAATCCCTCAGTCGCAGTACTCTGTCTTTCTCTCTCACCCTTTTTCGAATAAGTCGCTTTCTCTCTTTCACTCTCAGCCTTTTTTGAAAAAGTGAAAGAACCCTAAGTTTGATTTGGGAATTGACCATACGAAGGAAGCAGTCAAAGGGGGCTAAGGGCTGAGGTGTGAATGGACGATATTACCCTCAACAGACGACTCATGTGACTCTCACGTGGTTTTTTTTACTGGCATTTGGATGGAATTGGGGAAAACCTAACGACAAGGGTGAAATTGGCGATTACATTTAATACGAAGGCTAAATTGGCTGAAAAAATATTCCAAGGTGGACATTTCGACAATCGAAATAGTCCAGGGGGTTTTCGGCAGTTTACCCTTCTTTAAATAAAAGTAAATATGCGATAAAGTAAACGTACTGGTATGGGCACTAATTATGCTCCATACTTTTAAATAAAAAGTAAAGGCAATTGTACGGACGATAAACTCGCGCCACACTTTAAATAAATACTGCCGTATGGGTAATAAACCTACTCCATACAGTAAATAAAGCAAATGTTAAAGGCAGTTGTGTGGATGATAAACCCGCGCCACACTTTTAAATAAATGTTGCTGTATGGGTAATAAATCTACACCATACTGTAAATATGCAGTAAATGCGGGGACAAAACCACCACCTAATATATATAAAGTATATATTATATATTGTTGGCAATACAACTGCACCACTATTCAAGATATAACAAGATGGGTTTTAAGACCACACCATCATTTTTATTACGATAATATGCATTACAACTTGATGGGTAATGAAATTACACCACCATAAAATAACAGGATGGGGTATAAAAACCGCATCATTCCAAATTACAATACGAAAAAATTAATTAAACAAACATGGATGAAACAACATAAAAATTGTGAAAATACAAAAAAGAAAGTTTGCATGTCGTCGTAGTAGTAAAGTGAGAGGAGACACATGACAGAGAGGAGACAGAGAAATAACCACATAGTGTTAGTTGGGGAAAATTTAGAAGTAAAGAGGAGAGACTATCGTGCTAATAACGTGTTATAAAAATAAAGCAATAAGAGTATGGAAAGTACCACTAAATATTGGTGGTAGAATTATATCTGCTCTTGTGGTGTTTACACTGACAGAATTTCCTCTCAGATAGAACTCACTCACTAACACTCAAATTTCTCACTCTCCTTTCTTTCTTCTCTTTTCAGTTGGAGTGTTTTACAAATGATCGAACAAGCCTATTTATAGGTAAATTTACCCAACATCATTATTAACCTTTTGACTATTATCTCAACCTTTTCTTTATGTGCAATTAGTCTCCACTAACTTTACAACAAAAGCCACTTTTTTAAACTTTTTTAAAAATTTAAGCACTACCAAACGCTACCTAAGCCTAATTACTTTGTCCCGCACGGTCCAAAGACACGACCATACCAATCATGCTCGTGCTTGTGCCGGGCCTTATTTAAATGGGCTGTGCTTGTGCCATGCCGGACCAGCCCAGTCCGTTTGACACCTCCAGCTGTCTCAGTATCTTCCACCAGTCTATGTTCCGGATGCTACACTTCCCCGCCGTGGACAGGAGTGTTTGACGGTATTCTTGAGGTGCTATACTATTGGAACCCCGAAACCAACATTTCCCAGTATGAAAAACCTAATTCCACCTGTCGTTATTCCACTCAGCAATCGCTTCAAGTTGACCCCTACCTTTCTCAGCCACAAACTCCTTTGGCCCAGCACCAAACACTAGCGATTCAGTGCAATCAGTTGCTCCAATGGAAGGGAAGATGCCGTTTGGGGTCTTTATCCGATTGTTTCTCTGCTATTTTTTGTGAACCACACCTTGCCGGTGCCATCGAACCCAAGTCCAATCGCCCATGGTTCGAGGCTAAGAGATATGGACGATGAGAATGTACTGGACTATTTGGATGTGTGTGGATTTTATTGATAAGGGTTCTGTTTTGGTGCATTGCTTTGCTGGTGTTTCGAGAAGGTACATATTGCTTTCTCAGTTTATGATTTTCAGTTTTAGAATAACAAGAGTCTACTAATAATGTCGAAATTATTCGGAAGAGGCTTACATTCTGATAGCTTTTTCAGTTTTCTGAATTGTCAAGTTTAAAGGGTTTACACCCTTGTTTGCATGTGTTTGTTGCAGTGCAGCTATCATTACAATTTACAGCATATCTGATGAGAACAGAACATTTATCACAAGAAGGTGTGAACAAATCATTGCTTGTTTTAAGTATCGCGAGTCTTCGTATTTAACTACATGTTGCTGTTATATTTTTGGAATCCAAATAGCTGCTTTTGTTTCTTCAGTTCAGATAAAAATTAGTTTCACAAGCTTGTATGACTTTAAAAATGGGAGATGATTTTGACACTCCAAATGTCACCTCCCACACTCCTTTACTCTCTCACACAAAGAGGAGTGCCAAATTCATATTGTCCTCTTGTGTGAGAGAGTAGAGGAGTGTGGGAGGTGATAGTTGGAGTGCCAAAATCATTACCCTTCGAAATATATGAATTCCTGAACAATTGAATTGAAGAAAAGGCAGAGTGGGTTACAAATGCTTAACTGCTTTAGTTTTTATCTTCCTCTTATGCAATCCTACAGAAGCACTAGGATCCCCGAGGCAAAGCTGTGAGTTTGTTTGCCCCAATGATGGTTTTCTAGATCAGGTGATGCAAGGTACTCTTATGTAACATCTTGTACAAGATTTACATTACTTTCTGCTAAGCCAGCCCATAGTGAATTTTACTATTTTCTTTTATCATGTTGCAGCTCAAATTTACAAGGAAATGGGCTTCAAGGTTGATCGTGCCAGCCCCATATATAAGTCTTTTCGCCTGAAAGTATTGGGTACAATTTTATTTTTCTTCTCTATCTTATCCTCACTCTGAATTTATTGGTATTGATAGAACATCTTGCATTCATGCTTTCGTATTTTAGTTTTTCAAGTTTTGGTAATATACGAGATGACGAAAGTGCTTCATGGGACATAGAGACTAGGCTATAATTCTAGAAAGGGACCTGGTTGATATTTATTTTATTTTGACATTAGTAAAGGGACCAATTAATATCTTAGAGGTGATACAATACTGTTATCCTTTCCTCCTTGCTCAGTGGTTCCTATGCATGACCTGATCATGGGCTCGGCTTGGAGATCATTCCTAAAGGAATAAGATCTCCTATCCTCCAAACTAATATAATGTGCCAGAAAAGATGAGTTTGTTGGTTATACAAATGAAGCTGTACTGACTTTTTTGTTTTTGATCATTTTAATGCATTTCATTTACTTTTCTTGTTACACTGATAATCATTTTTCAGTTTTAGTGTCCAATATTTTGGAATGAAATTTAATTATTTTCCCGTCCAATGCATATAATTATTTTGAGTTTTGTTGATTTTTATATTTGTTTTAAATACAGGTAATTGAGGACCTTGGTGGTGCTATTACGTCTGATGGAAGCACAAGCAAACATGTTGTCATGGGGAAAGTGAGAACAACTTTTAATTTTTGTACTGCTCTTTGTTCAGGGTTAGTAGTCAATTTCTCTCTCTCTCTCTCTCTCTCTCTCTCTCTCTCTCTCTCTCTCTCTCTCTCTCTCTCTCTCTCTCTCTCTCTCTCTCTCTCTCTCTCTCTCTCTCTCTCTCTCTCTCTCTCTCTCTCTCTCTCTCTCTCTCTCTCTCTCTCTCTCTCTCTCTCTCTCTCTCTCTCTCTCTCTCTCTCTCTCTCTCTCTCTCTCTCTCTCTCTCTCTCTCTCTCTCTCTCTCTCTCTCTCTCTCTCTCTCTCTCTCTCTCTCTCTCTCTCTCTCTCTCTCTCTCTCTCTCTCTCTCTCTCTCTCTCTCTCTCTCTCTCTCTCTCTCTCTCTCTCTCTCTCTCTCTCTCTCTCTCTCTCTCTCTCTCTCTCTCTCTCTCTCTCTCTCTCTCTCTCTCTCTCTCTCTCTCTCTCTCTCTCTCTCTCTCTCTCTCTCTCTCTCTCTCTCTCTCTCTCTCTCTCTCTCTCTCTCTCTCTCTCTCTCTCTCTCTCTCTCTCTCTCTCTCTCTCTCTCTCTCTCTCTCTCTCTCTCTCTCTCTCTCTCTCTCTCTCTCTCTCTCTCTCTCTCTCTCTCTCTCTCTCTCTGTGCTGCTGCTGTCATTGCTAGTGCAAAAATCTGTTACATTTTATGATCTCATAGGTTTTGAATTTGTAGTCAGTAATAATCATGTAAATTACAAGCTTTTATGAACTGATCTTCTTTACTAATTATATGCTGAGCATACTCCTCAAATCTTTAATTGGTACTATGATAGAAGGGGGACTTCCTTTGTGTCTACGCATTATGCTTTCCAAAAAGTACCATTACATTAACACTCCTTTTGTAATGAGGAAGCTTTTATCCTCCAGTATAAATTGAAAAGACAAATATAATGTTGTTAACACATTTTTATATGACTATCTATTTGTTGGTGGGGGGCTCCTGGAAGTGTAGGTCATCTCTCCTCTGGGATCGAGGGTGGATGCTTGCATCCTTTGGCATTCACTGAGGAGCTAATCTTGCCTAGCTTATTAAAAAAAAAAAAAAAAAAAACTAAACTTACTAATGTGTTTAGTTAAACCAAAATAACAAAAAAATATTTCACGTGGGAGATTGCCAGTTATATCAAGGTTGGTTGTGTAATCACAGTCAAACTTCATTGGTGGAGTTAATGTATTTAGGATCACTGGATTTGTTGGCGTGGCGAGTAAGATTGATTGGAATCCACAACATAGTAGTGAGAGATAAGTTAATTTTATAGAAGACTCATTTCTTTTCTAAATCTGTCAAATCGCCCAATCTTAGACACAAGATTCCTCTGAGATTGACAGACTTAGATGCAATCTATACTCTCTCTCTCTCTCTCTCTCTCTCTCTCTCTCTCTCTCTCTCTCTCTCTCTATATATACACATTTCTATTTATCTGTGACTTGATTTTGGAAATTTCTGTAATTCAGGTATGGGTTAAACAATTACTAAGCACATATACCAAATGGGCCAAAAAGCTAGGTTATAAAGCGAGGGTCATTGAGAAGTGTTCTTCCACATATGGTGGCGTCAAGTCAGCAACTATTGAGTTTGAGTTTGCTTATGGCTATCTTTCAGGAGAGACAGGTGTTCACAACATTATAAGTTCGCAAAATGGATCTGCTTTGCATTTGGTAAAACTTTCTTTCTGTTCTGACCCTAAACCCGGATCTCAGTATTGCAATTATTAAGTTTTTTTACCACTCTGGTACTCAAGAAAGTGCACTTTAGCATATTCCTCGCAGGGGGCACAAAGTTAGAATTTAGTAAACAAAATAAATCCCGCAGTTAGTCAATCAATAGTCAATGCTACTCTTATATCTAATGCTCATGCATTTGGTTTACCTTGGTCCGTTCATTGTTGCATTATGTTAGGTCGCACTGGGAACTGCAAACTAGAGACCCCTTATGACACAATAAACCACTTTTTCTCAACCTTACAGATTCAGTGCTGCGGACCTCTGGACAATATGTTGTTAGTTAGTATTAGACATCAGCAGTTGAGGCTAACCTTCTCTCAGTTGTTGAAAGAATATGCGTTGATTGACTTTAAGTCTAGATAAAGTTTGTAGAAAGCTTACGAATAATTTGGCAGACATCATCAGTTGAGGCTAACCTTGAATCCTTGATGACCAAATCTAGAATTCAGCTTGAGGGCCTTCATCCTTTTCTGTCCCTGTCATTTGAGTACTTTTCTATCTACTAGCCTGTTTGAACAATTCAAAAGAAACACCAACACCAGCATCATTTTTAAATTTAGAATTGAATATGAAATGACTATCTAAACCATTATACATATCTCTATTCACTTGTCTTATGACATATAATATAGGATATAACTTAATCCTAAAATTGATAATTATGTTGGTATACTATCTTTTCCAAAAGTGATATCAAGAAAGATGACATTGTCAGTCTGTGGCAGAAAGAGACTCGAACGTACATGTATCATCCACACAAACTAGTGAAGGATGTAAAAACCAGCATCCAACTGCCTGACCTAATGTCTGTTTTGGATGGAAATCTTGAACCTCTTATTGGTGCTCATATTAATTCAAGACAATAAAGTTACATGGTTTGGAGTTCTCTGATGAGAAAGATAATATACGAAATAATACAACGAAAATGACAGGAGAGAAATGGATCTAAATCTACTATTTTACAAATAGCACCCCTAAAAGAAACATACAAAGGCACATAATTCTTAAACAAAACATTTTACGTCCACAAATATTAAAGTTCGATTTCTTTGCCTGATTACAAGATTTATAAGATTCTGTAACCTTGTCCTGTTCCTGATTACCTGTGCTGCGTCCTATGGTTGTATATTTCGTGTGCAATTATATGTAATATATTGTAAAGAATAGAAAGTATAGAAGAGGACAAGCAGTTCTAGCTGGGTAAGGAAAAAAAAAAAGAAAAAAAGAAAACAAATATACAGGTTCTTTTGGTGTTAAGTGAGTGGTGCTGTGTGAGTAAGGGTTATAGAGCTACAAAGGAGTTTCATAATTATTGAGCACTACATCTCCTTACCTTGTTTTTTACTATACTAAAACATTTAGGTATCCTTTTGATTTTTGTTTCCTCTTTAAAAAAAAAAAAATTGTGGCATTGTTCTGCATGATTTAGTATTTATTTGAACAAAATTGGTTGGTTACTGAATTGATGTTGGTCACTAAATTAAATTGATGTTGGTTGGGTTCGAACCAATCCATACAGTAGTGATATATTTCATTTCATTAGTTTAGTGTGTGAATTGATGTTGTTCACCAAAATTGATGTTGGTCGGGTTCAAGTTAATCCATACAGTAGTGATATTTCATTTCATTAGTTTAGTGTGTGAATTGAATTTGGGACCTAAACTGAATGAAACCTCACCCAATCCAATCCCAACTAATACAATGCATTGACTTGTGTAGTTTGACTTGCCAGAGCTATGACTTATGAGGAGAGCAGGAACAGTGTGCATTGAGCTCCATTTGATTGTGTCCCCTGCCGCCCGCATCGCTTCAACCTGAATGTAATGTTACACCTGGCTCCCAATCTTCTACGAAGAACCTCATCTAGAACCCCTGCACCCTCACCCTCTTCCAAATGTCCTATATGATAAATAGAGGATGGAAATGTTAAATTAATCAGTTGTACAAATTAATCTCTAATGTATGTAGAATGTCGAATTGCTTGGGCTCTACAAGTGTTTGGAAGGCCAATAATAAAGAAATTCACAAGTATCTAACCATCTTGGATTTATGAATTCTTTCGGCGTTGAATAGCCTGGCTAACATGCACGCACAGGTAGAAGTTCTTAGTTTTCTATTGTTTGGAGAAGGATGTGAGGATTTCTTTCATAGTTTCACTGTGAGTTTGTGATTCACCCGCAACACACCAAATCTACTATCTATTATCTAAGGTAATGTTTGGTTCAATGGAATGAGTCTAATGGAATATACTCTGTGTTGATTATCATAGTGAGGAAACATTTGTAGTTATTAGAAGTTTGATCTAAATATCAAAAGTATTATAGTTTCTATTTAACAGAATACAATTACAATTTTGTGGTTGGCTTTGACTGTAATTAATCAAGTCTTAGCTAGACCATGGGATTATAGTTGGAAGGATATTTAAGATTGGGAGTCTATTGATAGGATGATCATCATATCCACATCAGTGGCTCCTATATTCTTGGTGCACGTTTGATACTCATTAGGTCCTGGAAAATGTATAACAAGGAAGAACAAATGGGAATCTTAGAAAGAAAGGAAAAGAGAAAATAAGAGAGAAAGGAAGACCAAGGAAAGTGTGGCTGGGGTCTTAGACCACGCAGCCACACTTTTTTAAAAATCCGTGGAGCCGCACCTTGTCTTGGGGAACAAGAAAGTGGAGCCGCATTTTTTTTATATCGATATGGAATTGTTTCTTATTACCTGGACCTCCCTCTGTCTCTCCTTTCTCTTTTATTTTATGTTTGGAAGATTACCTCCTAATTGTGTAGCCTGGAGACATTTGCAGAAGTTCTCTCTGTGGTAAGCAGTGGTTCATGTGAGTTTCTGTCTTCTGGAGCAGAGGAGTTGCAGAATTTCGGTGCAGATACTGTTGAGAATGGACTTTTCATTGTTAGACTTGTTTAGACTTGTCTCCATATTGATATTCACAGTTCACAATGTGAAGAAGGAAAGTGAAGGTCAGACATGCAGAAATTGTATAACGTGCTGTCGTACTGCAGAATGCATTTACTGCTGTCTTTGAGTTGATGGGGCACATCTTAGAGAGGTGCGTCCAGTTGTGTGATCCTTCTTCAAGTTTCCTGTTACTGGGCATTCTGGTGTTTGTAGAATGGTTTGGATGTTGCAGCTGGAAGCAACACAGATGAAAAACAGACTAAAGTTAGATCAACTTCTGGATGGTTTGCATCTCCTTCCTGAATAGTCTCTCGTCAACTCTATAGATGACGATGAAGATGAGACTTGCTTTAATAATATGAGCAGATATAAAGAAGGGGAAACTGAGAACTGTCTTGCTTTGTGGGAGGATTTTGAGTTGAGAGGATTCATTCCACTTCTTCCAGCACAAACTATATTGGATGTCTCAAGGAGGCATTCTTTTGGAAGTGACGGCCACAAGATAAAAGGGGCCCATGTTAAAAGGATTGTGGCGGCAGGCAAGGCTCTTGCAAATGTGATTAAGGTTGACCAGAAAGCAGTATATTTTGATTCGAAGGCAAAGAAATTTGTCATCGGTTTTGAGCCTCAGGTGCAAAATGATTTTGTTCCTACCTCCTATATGGGCATGGCTACTGAGAATGATATTTTGCAAGAAAATCAAGCAGAGAATACAATGAAGTTGGGAGTTGCACATCCGAAGCCTGAGTTAACCATGGAAGGCGATGAGGAAGCAGAAGTAATAGTTTTTTAAGCCAGTAGTGGCTGAGAAGCTGCCTGATGTGGTAAACACTACTTGGGCAGCCTATGAGGGCCTGGAGCCTGGTAAAAATGCTTCTCCAGGTGATCTAAAAGTTAATGGCACTTATGTCGCTGCTTCTTTTGATAATCTTCGCCATGAAACTGCATTTAGTGCTAGTTCACAAATACCTGTATCTGTTGCTAATGGTATAGCCCAACCTTTGCAATCAATTCAGTCACATGCTTCCAAGCTGTCAATGGAAGCTGGTTCACAACTACCTGTATCAATTGCTAATAGTATCCCAACCAACTCAGTCACATGCGTTGAAGTTGTCAACAGAGGAAGAAATGTCTCTTGCTCACGGCTTAAAGAGTGGGATTTATGGGGAATGGGTATGTATTAATCTGAGCCTGTGGCAGTTTCAGTTCCATTCCAGCAGCCAGTAAATGGTAGTACTAGTGGTATGGTCTACAGCCACACAAAAGCCCCCGGAAGCTATGTTGCCATTTAAGGTTGATGCTATATCATCTTCTGGAGCAATTGCTGACGGTTTGACTGTAAAGACATCATCAAACGTGCCCACAGGTATCCGAAAGAATCCAGTAAGTCGACCTGTTAGGCACCTTGGTCCACCACCTGGTTTTATTGCTCCGACTCAATGAGTGAGAATCCACTGATGGATGATTACAGCTGGTTGGATGGATATCAGATGTCATCTTCAACAAAAGGAAATGGGCTCAGTAGCTCCATTAATTTTTCATCTCATTCAAATCCCAATCGCTTCACTAACAGCAATGGCTTGAGTGGACCAGTGAACTTTCCCTTTCGTGGTAAAAACAGCTGCAGCAAAAACTTGTAAATGGAAATCAGCACTTGACTCCTCAGCCAGAGCAATATCAAGGACAGTCTGTCTGGACAGGTCGTTATTTTGTGTGAAGTCAGTATGGTTATGATGGTGATAATTTTTTTCTCTGCATGTGTTACAATTGCTGCCCATCTGTTCTCACAAAAACTTTGATCCCGAAAGCGACGCGCACATAAGCCAAGCCAGCATGCTGCATTTACAGTGATGAGAAAATGGAAAATTGTCACGCAACAAGTGGTCCACAATCAGACTCAAATATTACTTGACAACAATAGTTGTAATATCATTTGATCGGTCTCCAAAAACGAATTAGGCAAGAATTGAGAATCTGCATATACTTTTTCAACATATTCTGAAGTTTACTAACTCAAGTTTCCAACAAGAATTATCACTGGGTTTAAAATTATAATATTAATGGTAGAGGTGTCAAAGTTCGAAAGTTTAAGCTTCATATTAACCTTATACCCTAAGCTTCATATTAGCAATAGAAAATTTAAGCAGATTCTATCATATAATTGTAATTAGCTGAAAGTTTGAAATCAAGGAGCTAGCATTGGTACTCACCAGTACCCTTCTCAATCCAGGGTGAGACCATGATGGTCAAAAACCCAAACTCCCAACCGGTCGAATCGAAACAAGAAAGGCTTCGGCCCCACGATCCCATCGGGGCTAGGGACTTCATGTACTAGCGTCAGGGACGAATTCAGGATTTGAAAATGAAGTGGGTTAAATTTACCGTACGCACTTTCTAAAAATTTAAAATAAAATAAAATAAAACCTTTTGTACAATCCTACTAAGAATAGAGAATTTGACTTAGGGCTGGTAAAAACTTATAGTCCTACAATATAATGAGTTCCAAAATGTGTTTTCCTACCCAAAATAAACCTATAATCAACACCCATATGTAAGATATGAAGAAAAAAAAAATTCAAAAAAAATTAGGTGCATTAATTTCATTCATTGCCTTGGCACTAGGGATGGCAAAAAGGCGTCAGGTATAATGTCAACCATCAATTTCATATTCTCTCGTAAGCTGACATCAATTTCAGGATTAGATGATGTAATAAACCATATAGAAGGACACATATTTGCAATACTTGTTACAGAGAAAAGGAACTAAAGAATAGATCAACAAAATCTTTTATGAACAAACAGGTAAGAAGAAATTACAATTTACATGGGTTTTTTTTTTTATTTTAACCAAAACAATTTACATGAGTATTGAAAAAAAATATATTGTATGGGCTGTAGCCCACAACGTGGGTTCATCCATGTGTCAAACGGACTAGGCCTGTTCAAGCACGACCCGCTTAAGTAAGGTCAAGCACAGCATGACCCGTATCTTTGGGCCAGCTGGAACAAGGTAATTAGCACCAACGGCAATAGAATTATCACTAGTCATTTTGTATATAAAAGTTACTTTAAATGAAGTTATTTGCTTCTTTTTTCAATAAATAATAAATCTTGTTAGTATATACATAAGTCAAATTTGGCATGGGCCCATCTCGACCAGTTTAGTGGCCCGGCACGAGCCCATATGGGCTTGGGCTGTGGGCTTGGGCCGGGATTGATGATTTTCATAAATGCACAGGCCTGGCCCGGCCCATTTATTAAATGACCCAACTCTAAACAGGTCAGCACGGCCCGTTTGATATCTTTAATTAATGACCAAACAGCTAAAATTTTAACCATTTTGTTGATTTTGTTTGTTTGTTTGTTTTGTAGAAGTACCAGGCCATTTGATGACAATTTCTATTTCAAGTTTTCAATTTTTTATTTTTTATTTATGGCCACAACAATTTCATTATGAAAGAGCAATACAAGATACATAGTGCTACAGAGGGCTCTTGCAAACAATAAAACAGTCATTGCAAGAAATGAGCAAAAACAATTTCGCATCTTGAAAACAAGCTCATCATGAACTAAAAAAACATACAAGTGGAAAAGCAAATCCTGCTCAACTTCTATCAGGACACATGGTCTTAGCGTCTCCCAAAAACCCCTAACTCAAAGCACCAATTGATAGTAGATCCAGAAGATCAATCAGCTCCACCCTTCACCACATAGATCTGATGGAGATCCACCTCATCAATCCTAAAAGTGCATGGACAGCACAACAGAGGCTGAAGAAAGATAGATCTACACAAATCTACAAATATCCAACCAAAAAAGTTGATAGGAAAACCCTAGCACAATTAAGGGTGAGTCAAACCTTGCAAAACACAAGGGAGACAAAATCCTAGCACAAAACGGCTAGGAAGAAAAGCCCTCCACAAGTACAGCGGAAATAACTCGGTTTATTCATATGATGGGATGGTTCTACGTGGTGATCAAGGGGTAACACCTATTTAACACCTATAATGAAACTTTCAAGTAACACCTATTTATGTAGAACTTGTACATAAAATTTTTATTGGGGCCTAATTGTGAATTTGAGTTCATTAAATAAAAGTTCATGTTACAAAAAGGTTATAACTTTTTTTTTTGTGTGAATCTTTTTGGGTGAAATTTATGTCTAGAGTTTCCAGGGTTGAGACCAAATATGTTCGAACGCAAGAGTCCAGTGGGTGAGTTCAAGTAGGGGTGGGCGCGGTGAAGTTCGGTGTTGTTTCTCTTCGAAATCAGAATCGTAATCGTAATCTTTTTCCGATGCGGTGCAATTTTTCCCAAAATAATTAGAGAAACCGCCGGTGCAGTTCCGTCACAACATGAAACCAGTTTTCAGTTGTGAACCGGTTGACAATATCTAAAGTGAAACATATGCGAGAGCACGAAACTCAACTACAATATATTATTGCCCTAATCAACCTATTTAAGAAATGTCACTGAATATATATAGTCTCCAGGCTTTAATGGACAGAGAAAAGAAGAAGCTATTTCTAGTTAGCAATAAATATATATATTAAATAAGAGTGCTGCTAAACGAACCCTAAAATTAACTGAGTGCACCATATGATCTAAGTACACCCTAATATTTTAATTAAAATGTAAAATTAACTAAGTACACCCTATAGAACTACCAAAAATACCCCTGTTACACCCTAATACTTGTAGCATTATTTTATAGTTGATTTTCAGCTTGATTTTTTTAATAGTGTTTATAAATCTTTGACTTTTCATATGATTTTCAGCACCCTTCTAAAAGTTGTCCGGTAGATGTGTCACCGAAATACAATTTCTTTCTTCTTTATTTTTAATAAATCTTTTATAATATTTTATTTGTTGTCCAAATCATAATATTATGTTGGTAACTTTGTATGTATTAGACACTTTTTTCAGGAACAGTTGCTGAAAATATTGGGTACAGGGATCTGTTGGCAAAAATTAACATGGAAATGGTAGAGGATGCAGCACGAACTGCAAATGCAGATGAATTTATCAGAAATCTCCCAGATGGATACAAAACCAACATAGGACCAAGAGGCTCAAGTTTGAGTGGAGGTCAGAAGCACGCAGGAGCATGTAGTTTCACCATGTATACAAGCTTATATGCAAAATTAAAGACTAATTGGATTCTAAAGTGTACATAATAGATTGAAACCTGTTACTCACATCAAGAAACATCAAGAAGCTCTCCAATCAATATGCAGAGAAATAGTTATGAGAAGAAAGAAGGAAGGCTTCATCTGCTCCAAGCCATTCTGACTCGCGGATCACAAAGATGGGCATCAAGTAATCTCTTGATTAGGGTTGAATATGGTTAGTAGAGTGTACTTATTAAAATTATATTTGTTTCACAATTCCATATATCCTTTTTGGTCATTTTATATTAGGGTAAATCAGTAATTCAATATACACTTTTATAGTAGGGTGTACTCAGTTAATTTTAGGGTTCGTTTAGCAGCACTCTTAAATAATCAAAAGAAAAAGAAGAGAGAGAGAGAAGTGTAGAAGAGAGATCTCTCTCAAATAAGTTTATTTAAGGGACATCTTTATAGGGTCCACTCTATATTGTATTTCACTAATCCAAACCGTCTATTTTGTAGATACTAGTTCAAAGATCATCTCTATAAAAAAATCACTTGAATTTGATATCATTTGACCACTCAATTAAATTATTAAAATTTTAGTACTTTCTTAAAGCACCATGTTCATTGATTTTGTAAGACACAATTGGATATCAAAACAGTTTCCGATTTGTCTCATTTTTTTGAAAGGATGATCTATGAATGTAGACTTAAACAATAAATGTTTGAATCGTTGAAAAAAAATTCATAGAGAAACCTAAAGGGTGTCCTTCAAATAAAATTATTTGAGATATTCCTCAATAGAAGGGGATTATATATATATATATATATATATATATATATATTAAATCTCACTGGTCCAATTTGGTCCAGTCTGGTGTTTGGAGGTGTAAAATTGAGACCATAATCAATTGGGACTGGTCCAATTTGGTGTAGTGCCAGTTTATTAGCTTTTTAGTTAACTCGGTTTTTTGACGGTGTTTTCTAATTCGTTCTAGTTCAATTTTTCGGTCTCGATACACAACCTTAAGTTCAAGTCGAGAAGTCTCAAACACCGAGTTTTGAGACTGGAGTGCGATGCACATGTTGTGATTTTGAATTGGTGAATAAAAAAGGTGGGCAAGAAGAAAAAATGAAATCAAAACTGAAAATTAAAACATTTTAAAATTGTTTTCAAAAAGTATTCAGATGCTGAAACTATTGTGGAGTGAATCCCAAAACTTGACAAGTGTATCATATTGATACAAAAGAAAGGTGTGTTGCGGCAACACACATCTTCGTATGAAAATATATGTAATCTTACCAACACCCTCATGTGCTATATCTTACTAGAATCTCAATATCAAGAAGTATGGGGAGAACATTATCCACATATTCAATATCTTGGTAAAGAAAAGTTCCCAGTCCAGATTTCGTGCAGGGTTAGTTTTCTAGTCAAAAATATTATTCTTGTGGACCTAATTTTAGATGCACTTTGTCCAAAATTTCTACTTCAAAATAGAAACTAATGTCAAAGACTTCTGATAGAGAAATAGAGTGACATCGAGGTAAGATCTCAAGAGGGTGTCCATATTTTTGGAGAAGTGTAGACATTCTATCCTTTTGTTAACTTTTCTTTTGGTTGAATACAACGTAATGATCATTTTTTTGGGTCGAATACGACCTAATAATCTTTTTTTTTGGGTCGAATACGACCCTTATGATCTATTTTTTTTTGGTCGAATACGACCCTTATGATCCTTTGATCACATAAACATCCTCCCGTTGGTCATCCTAACCTATGACCTAATGATTGAAATTATTTTATTTCAAAAGTCATTTTCTAAGGATTATCTTTGCAAACAATCAGTCAATCGGTAGTCATTTGGCCATGAAAAAAGTGTGAAAATAAACACAGTATGGTTGATAAAAATTGAAATGATAATGATAATCAATGAGTAATTAATCAATTTTTTTTATGTAAATTTTTTTTTTTAAAACTAAAAGTGTCACTAACTAAGAGAGATTCTGATCATAATGAACAGTAAATTAGAGGTCAGCAGATATGCACTTATTGTTTGTGACTGTGACCGTGCACTTTTGAACTGCCTATATTTGATTTTCTTGAGGTTCGGGGCTAGTAGCTCAAGTTGCTAAGTATATTTGAATTCCTCCTCCTCCAATGTGACCTGTATCCAAAGATGATTTCTTTTTCCTTGCAAGGGGACTTATAGTTGAGTGGTTCCTTCAATATCGCTTGTATATAATAAATAAATAAAAGGATTTCCTTTTCCATAATTGTATTAAATGGATATGTTTGACCAGAACAAAAATATTAAACGGTAGTAATTTACGCGGCCCCACCATAAAAAATAAAAAATGAAAGCAGACCACAAGTCATTGTTTTCCTAGATTTTTAAAGAAGGATTTATGACTCCTCTCAGCAATTCATGTGAACAAAATGTTTTTCCTATCAAAAGGAAAAGGATAAATTAAATTTATGTGAACAAAATGTTGTTCACTTTTATTTTTTGTGTTTTGCATCATAGCTAACAAATTCTCTTTTACTAATTTTCTAAAAACAAATTACTAATAATACTTTTTGCCCTCCCTCCTCCATTTCTGCTCCCTATCCCCTTCCACCATAGCCATAGCCTCAAGCCTTTTTCTTAAAAAGGTGTACAAATATTTATAGAAATGAAAATAATGAATAAAACTGGAATCTTGTTTTGAATTTTTTTTTTCCAGGAAAATGAATGTGATGAACAAAAAGTTGAGTACACACTAAGCACCTAAAAGACAAGAGAATACACACACATTTTTTCTTTCAAATAAAAATGAGAAGAATAAAATGAACTTGGAGTAGTATATGCTACAACTAGAAAGAATCATACAAACACGCGTCATGTGATACTCAAATATGGTATAAACAAATACGCATCACGTGGTACTCAAATACGATACGGTACCAAAAATATATATATAATATTTTTAACATTACTCTTTTTCTTTTTCTTATATGCAAATACCAACCATAACCATAATCAAGATTTTTAAATTGGAAATCTCACACTGACCCTGGCACAAGGAAAAAAAGAGAGAAAAAAGAATAAAATCTGTATATCTAGATAGTAGAAATAATAAAGTTCTTATCAAAGCCCCTTTGAAAATGAAAAAGCTTGTGGTCCACCACACTAGGTGCTCACGGGCTTCTACTTTGGAAACTGAGAATTTGCCTATAAATTAAAACCCGCATAACCCAAAACCTCTCTCACTCTATCTCTATCTTTCTATCTCTTTCTATCACTTTCTGTCCCATGCAACAGTAAAATTGGAAATCTACAGACTCCTTCAATCCAATCTAATCCCATTCCGTTAATCCAATGGGCACTAGCACCACCATTTCAGTCCTGTTTTTGATGCTCATAGCCCTTCACAGTCCAATATATGCCAATCCCATCAAAACTATTGTTGTAATTGTGATGGAGAACAGGTCATTTGACCACATGCTGGGTTGGATGAAGAGAATCAATCCAGAAATCAACGGTGTGGATGGCTCTGAGGCCAACCCTTTGTCCACAACTGATCCAAACTCCAAGCTCTTCTTCTTCAACAATGAGTCTCACTATGTGGACCCTGATCCTGGCCACTCATTTCAGGCCATCAGAGAGCAAATCTTCGGCTCAGATAACACCTCAGCTGACCCGCCTCCCATGAATGGCTTTGCCCAGCAGGCTTTCTCCATGGACAACACCACCACCATGTCTCAAGATGTTATGAATGGCTTCAACCCGGATATGGTTGCTGTCTATAAAACTCTTGTTTCTGAATTTGCAGTCTGTGACAGGTACTAATTCTTTTTGCTTTTTCATTAAACTTAATCTTAACTGATTAATTAAGCAATGCATAAGTTTTCTTTTATATTTATTTATTTTATTTTAAAAACAATAGATTGCATTCATAATTCAAACTGTCCGAATAGGGTTAATACAAATACGGAAGCTTTGTTGTTTATGAATGAATTTTTCTTAAAAATTTATTAAAATCAAGAGAGAGAAAGCTTTTGGGAAATGAATGCGAGAGAGAAGGAATGCTTAGCTTCAAAGTATCATTTTGTTTGTACTCCCAAATTATTCATAGCTGTTAAAAGGATTTTTTTAAAGGATTTTTTTAATAAAAAAAAACAAAAAAAACAAGAAATTCTTGCTTCCTCTTTTATATATATATTTTTTTCATGTTCTTTCTTAAAGCTTTCAAGATTAATCTGAATTTGATATTTATAAAAAATAATAGATTGTATTTATAATTCAAACTGTCCGAATAGGGTTAATACAAATACGGAAGCTTTGTTGTTTATGAATGAATTTTTCTTAAAAATTTATTAAAATCAAGAGAGAGAAAGCTTTTGGGAAATGAATGCGAGAGAGAAGGAATGCTTAGCTTCAAAGTATCATTTTGTTTGTACTCCCAAATTATTCATAGCTGTTAAAAGGATTTTTTTAAAGGATTTTTTTAATAAAAAAAAACAAAAAAAACAAGAAATTCTTGCTTCCTCTTTTATATATATATTTTTTTCATGTTCTTTCTTAAAGCTTTCAAGATTAATCTGAATTTGATTCTGAATTTTAATCTCTTACCTCTTCATCCGTAGCTGCCAACCTGCCATGCAATTATTGAGGTTGACATTTGTATAAGTTGTTAGATTACGACTTCTGACACAGTTTTTTACTTTTTTTTTACTGTTTTACTTTTTTACCCCTACTTTTTTTTTTTTACTGTCCCAAACAAAAAACATAAGAATTTTGTGTATGCTTTAGGTGGTTTGCCTCGGTCCCATCCTCAACACAGCCGAATCGCCTCTACGTGCATTCAGGGACATCAGCTGGGGCAACAAGCAACATCCCAGCCCTTCTAGTCAAGGGCTACCCGCAAAGAACCATCTTCGAAAGCGTTTACGACGCCGGAATATCCTTCGGAATATACTACCAAAACATTCCGGCCACACTCTTCTATAGGAACTTGAGGAAGCTCAAGTACATAAGCAAGTTCCACATGTATGACACCTTCAAGAGCCATGCAAAGCAAGGGAAGCTGCCAGGCTACACTGTCGTAGAACAGAGGTACTTTGACGTCAAGATTGCCCCGGCAAATGATGATCATCCCTCGCACGACGTGTTCCAAGGGCAGATGTTTGTCAAGGAGGTGTACGAGACACTGAGGTCGAGCCCTCAGTGGAACGACACCTTGTTGATCATCACTTATGATGAACATGGAGGGTTCTACGATCATGTAGGTACGCCGGTACATGGAGTCCCTAGCCCCGATGGGATCGTGGGGCCGGAGCCTTTCTTGTTTCGATTTGACCGGTTGGGAGTTAGGGTTCCGACCATCATGGTCTCACCCTGGATTGAGAAGGGTACTGGTGAGTACTAATGCTAGCTCCTTGATTTCAAACTTTCAGCTAATTACAATTATATGATTGAATCTGCTTAAATTTTCTAATGCTAATATGAAGCTTAGGGTTTAAGGTTTAGGATTAAGCATTTAGAATTTGTATTAGCACAATATGCACTTGGATAACCCTCTTATCCCACCTTGTAAACTATAGATGGTATGAAAAGTCAATAATGTCATTTTAATCTTAAGAGGGTAATTTGGTAATTACACACTTGTTACAAAGTTACGTGGTCATGTTGAAATCTTAAGTTGTCTCTTACGATGTTACAATTTCATATATAATGCATTATTTGTGCTCAAACTATTTAGGATTATGTTGGGAATCTAGATAGAATATCTTCTCTCGATAACATTGATGGCTGGCTGGCTGGCTGGCTTGCTTCCACCTATACGCAGTTGGGTCGATGAACTTGGTTAAATAGAACGACATAAGCTGCTGATTTCACACTACATAATATGCCACAACCTGAATTTGTCGGCATTGCTGTCCCATAATCATATGTCGAAGAATATCTTCTCTTGATAACATCGATGGCTGGCTTGCTTCACCTATACGCAAGCCACAAAGAATTTGCTTCCCATTTCACACTGCTTTTGGAAAAAGAGGACCTACTTCTATGGATTCTTTCGTCAATGCTTGTCAAGCTTACCAACAAAACAATAAAGAGATTGGCTGTCTTCGTTTCTTATCTCAACCAACAAGTAGTTTGGTTGATGACTTCGCCATGTGATGGAGAAGAACTTACATGTATTGGGAATGCTCTGTCGTGGCGGTATTCCAAACCTATCACACATTTGTCATGTCGGAAAGTTAAAACACATGTCAATATGTGATTGGCTCGGGATAATGCCATAGTGGTATTCCTGTTATAAGTAAGTTTTTCTCCATACGATGAAATTAAAATGTTGGGTGTGATCAATGTTTGAGATTTTCTATTTTTGTTTTTCACTAAAAATCTGCATAAAGTGATAGGAGTTTGTTGAAATTGTTAATTGGGGATAAGTTATAGGCAAGCACACCACACAAAAGCTAGCAGATAAAGTCTTACTAACTGACAGAAAACTCTTGAGGAAAGTAAAGTATGCCAAGTTGTAGGAAAAAGTATACCTTCAAAATGAACCAACTGACAAAATCTCTTAAACTGTTTAATACCTCAAAGTCTTAGAAGCATTTTTGCAGGAACCTAATAGATTGCCTTATTTTGCTGGTTAGTGCAGAGATAAAAATAGCTAAACTTCTCTCTGTTTACATTGTCATCCAAATTCGGTCAATATTTTCTTAGCAACAAATGCTCATTAGCTTTGATTTCTAGCAAGAATAGAATAAGTTGAAATCTGCATGGCTAACTGTATAGAAATTTCTAAAAACCTATGGTTAATAGCATATTTTCTCCATTGACGATGACAATGAATCGATTTTGCAGTCCTTCATGGACCTAATGGATCACCATTTCCAACTTCGGAATTTGAACACTCATCCATTCCAGCAACAGTTAGGAAGATCTTCAACCTATCTGCACCCTTAACAAAGAGGGATGAATGGGCTGGTACCTTTGAAGGCATTGTTCAAACACGGACAGAACCCAGAACTGATTGCCCAGGTTAGTCACATTCCACTCTCAAATAAACTGGAAAATATTATATGTAATATTAATGCATCCATCTAGGATGGCAAATCCATAGTGTGTCTTATGTTTGTCTCAATTGCTTGCAATTTTGAGCAGAGCAACTACCAACGCCAGTCAAGATCAGAAAAAGTGAGCCTAAAGAAGATGCTAAGCTTACTGAATTTCAGCAGGAGATGACACAACTCGCAGCAGTTCTAAAAGGAGATAACATATTTACAAGCTACCCCAAAAAGACAGGGAAGGAGATGACCGTCAAGGATGGGAAGGAATACGCAGATGACGCAGTTAAACGATTCTTTGAGGCAGGGCTTTATGCTAAGAGAATGGGAGTTAGTGAGGAACAGATTGTCCAGATGAGGCCCTCCCTTACTACAAGACCATCACCCATAGTTAACCAGACACCATAAATAGATGAAATGAAAACTGGCAGTGGATCCTCAGGTGCATATGTAAAAGAGCAGTCATCTTTTTCTATATCTATACAAATCCAAGGAAAGAAATTAAATTATCTAATGAAAGTTTAGCATTTCACGATGTTTATATTCTTCAGTTTGTGGGCTTGTGTATCAATTTATTTTTCCCATCTCAACTTGGAAAAGTTTTTACATGCGTATTTGATTAGACAAAGGCTAAAAGACAAGTTCTTAAACTGTGTTTTCGTATCAGGGCAGGAAAAAATAAATAAAATTTCAGTCTTAAGTACAGTTTAATCCCCTTCTTAGCCACTCAAGTTAGGAACAGAAGTCTGATCACATAGATTATGAGAATTTGGAGTAATCAATTTGAATACAAAACTCCTGAAGTGCTATTAGGACTTTAAGCATTTTGTTAAGGGAACGGTAGCTGATACTATCTTAAGCTTTCTGTTGTAGGGAAACTATCAGCACTTTATAGACTAATAAAGGGGCATAAAGCCTACACAACAAACACCTTAAACTGATACTCACAATTACGAACATCTCAGAAAAGTGAACTGCCCTTCTTTATTACTAATTTCTGATTAGCAAGTGCTCCAAAATCTTATTGTTGAAAACTTTCAATTAAGTGTAAGTAATTCCAACATGTGAATGTATACAAAAGAATTTAGTAGCCTTCATGGCTGTATGTAAAAGAGCACCAACAACGAAAGATCCTTTTTGACTCATCAAGACATTCCTTATCTACCTATAACATTCTTTTGCTACGTTAAATTCCGTATCGACAGAACTCCCACTCCCTGACTGGCTTTAAAATATCAGTAAGCAAGAAAAGAATTGATGGGCTTATATCTTACTTTTCATCTCAGCCACTAGTTAATGTGTCCCACTCAGGAATGTTTGCTGTAGCCTCATTAACCATTTTCACGAGCCTTATCTGCAAACAAGATCAGTGCAACATCTATCAATTGGAGAGAGAGGATCAGTGTAACATCAATTAACTGGAGAGAGAGTGTCTGTTTTACATAATTTGCCTTCACATCCTAGACAAACTAAGTATTGGATGATTGGATGATGAATGACTCGTACAGACACTATCTCATGGCATTGTGGCTATCTCTGTTTATTTTTTAAAATTCCATTGGCCTCAATTACTGAGACCAATTTATAATCACGACAAATAAGACGAAAGCAAAGCTGATTCAACCTTCTTGTTCTCATATCATTGTTCACAACCATGCTTATGGGTAGGGAAAAAAATTAAAGCAGCCTTAGACACAGATGAGCTAATTAATGCAGCCATTTAGCTGAAAAATATTTGTTAAAAACATGTTTTCTTTCTTGCCAACTGATGACAGCATTCAGCACACGGGCTCAATGAAACAGAACCAACATGCCTCAAAACATATTAGTGATAGACCTACCACACTTTCAGGAACTCCTGGAGGGGGCAAGGAGAGGTTTCTTGGTGGAGGACCACTAAGATATGATCTCTTGTCAAAACGCCATTCTCCAATCTTGCCATAAGTCAGTTCTCCCTAAATGTTAGAAAAGAAAAGCCATTCAGAGTAATTAAAAGAATTCATGCAGATGAGAGATCACTATATTAATTAAACGAATTCATGCAGAAAGAGAGATCATGAAACAAGTGCAGTCAAACTGCCTTTCATAAGAAATTTTAAATTAAAAAAAAAGCAGAGAGAGAGACCTTTAAATTATAGTCGCATCCGTAAGTAAAATGGATGATGAACGTCTTTCCAACATCCAAATCCCACGGAGGCTGCACGCTTAAACTAAAGCATATTAGATATTTTTATGACTTGAGGCAAAAGTGGAAAACCACAAAAATAATAATGACATGAATAAAATAAATAAAACTCAAATTCAAACCTGCAGCATGAAGTCTTTACGAAGAATATGCCGCACTCCATGCAATGCAGATGCTACAGCATATGCATACCTTATTTCAGCAGAGAAATGACACCAACATCAAATATAAAATAATCAACCTATTGGACGGAGATTAACTAGCAATTGAAGCTTATTACTCACATCTCAAGCACCCATCCAAAGGCCTTATCAGTCTCTGGGTCATCTTTCATTCTCAAAGAAACATTCACCCATGTGGGAGCAATTTCCTCCAGCAAGGACTGTCGTAGATAACTTAGTCAGTACACATTTTAAAAGTATGATTTTGTAGTGAAAGTATAACCGTCAGCCTCATGGACAACACAACTATAATTATGATGCGAGGATGATATGTATAAAGCATGCATATAAATCATACATATATACATACATATATATATACATGTATGGACATGACGCACAAGTACCGATGCATATATAGGCACTAAAGCATACATATATAAGTATGGAGATGCAGCACACATAGTAATGTATAATTAAGAATCTGTGTTTCATCATTTATAATCACCTCAATTCATAAACTACATTAGCAATACAATATTTTACCTTCTTTATGATTCAAAGAAGAATTGCCAATCTGATTAATATCAGTCACAGGACTGTTTTCTCAGGATGAATTTTCCTAATTATTTTCTCATTTCAAATTATGGTTTGTAGCAAAAAGTAAAATGGTCAGCCTGATGACAAGACAAATATAGCTACAATGAAGATATGAATAAAGCACACCTACATACACACCCTCGTGCATTCACAATCACACTATGAAAACAAATGTTCCACCATTCATAATCACATTAATACAAAGTTACATTAGCAATAAATTATTTTACCTTCTTTATGATTACAGGAGAATTGCCAATTGGATCAATATCAGTCACAGGACCTCTTTCCTCAGGATAAAATTTCCTAATTATTTTCTCATTTTCAGCTGGTTTAATGTAGAAAAATGGATACCCTGCTGGACTGTTTCCATGTGCCAAGTTTGGCAAGGGATTTACAAATATGTGGTCAGGTTCAGCCATTAGAATGTATCTGCATTGATCATGATAGAGACCAGCTTTCTGATTTCATCAATGAAGAGAGGAAAGTTTTGCACGAAGTTAAAAAGGAACAACAAAAGCTTACTCTTCCTCAATTGTTGCTTTCTCTAGCCATTGCACAAAAGCCCATGGTCTATTTAGGACAATATAGCCCTGGATACACATTAAATTTAAGTCAGAAAAATTTATATTAGCAAAAAGGGAAGCCCATTGCAAAAATGAACTATATGCTGGGGTTTGATGTTCAAGTAATCTCCAGTAACATACATCTCCTATGCAATTAGATTTAGGATACCAATTCATCTTTTTGCATGAGAAACCTTCATTTCAATTAGAATCCGGTTAAGCTAATTAATGTGATGTAGGACAGCAACAAAAGATAGGAAGAATAAGGAACTCACTCCGGCCTTTGGCATCGCACCAAAGGTGTCCAGTAGAACAATAAAAAAAATGCCGGCATCACACCAGCCTTTGGCATCACACCATGAAGGTGCCTTCGAATCACTCCAAGTTCAAGTCAACCTGTGCTTCACAAAGTTCTGTGATTTCCTGCTGGTGTGTGAAGCACAGGTTGACTTGGAGAGATCCCAAGGCACCTTCGTCATGACGTCAAAGGCCAGTGTGATGACGGAATTTTTCTAATTTCTCTACTGGACACCTTTGGTGCGATGCCAAAGGCCAGAGTGAGTTCTTTATTTTCGCTATCTGTTCTTGCTGCCCTACATCATAATGTTATAAACCTCAGAATTCTTTAGTAAATAAAAATGACTACAATATGAATAACAAGGAGTATTTGAACTAAACTATACAGAAAAGAAAAAATGAGTTCTTTATTTTTCCTATCTGTTCTTGCTGTCCTACATCATAATGTTATAAACCTCAGAATTCTTTAGTAAATAAAAATGACTACAATATGAATAACAAAGAGTATTTGAATTAAACTATACAAAAAAATATAAAATAAAATAAAAATCGGTTATTGTTATAACTTTTGTCCATTATACGTCAAACAATTATGGATGACAAGCAGATTAATTTCATTCTCCATTCTAATAATTAGGAGCCCTACGTCATAAAATGGTATGTAGACAAGCTTCATATCACATATATGTCTCTTCTACGACTGACAATATGTAGGGGCATTTCTAGCATATAATTGCTTCAACATCAACTTCTGCCAAAGTAAATTTGTTTATTATGTTAAAAATAGTTGACATTTGATCTTTTCCTTTGCATATAAATCTGTTCCTCTGATACTGAGTAGAAAAACTGTTTGATGATAAGCAATAGGAAAGAAAATTCTATGTTATTAGCAAACCATAAATCTATGAGTACACTTTAGTTAAATGGGGGAAACAAGTTAAGTACAAGTGTTGGCACAGCAACATAAGTACACTTTTACAAAACAATGTCAATCCAACCAGATGTTACAACTTTCATCAGTTCCTTCCTCCTTTTTCTCGTCGTATTTATGACACCTTCTGTAAGGATGAATCTGTCTAGTATATATCTGTCCTTTTATTCAAATGACAATTTACTTACCATTTATGTAATTGAAAAGCCTCAATCAAATTGATATGAGTCACTTCCTCCCATAAGTGTGATTTTCTTTTCAAATGGGGGTGATAGAGGGAATTCATGCTTTATGAGATATTAATTGCATTCTTTCTCTCCATGATGAACATTAGTTAAACCTTTTTTAATTTGATATCTGCAGATTCAT